TGGGCTTAGTTCTGAATTCCGGTTCCTGTCAGGATGGAAATATTGAAGCAGCCGTTGCTGAGGGTCAGAGGTCAACTGAAGTCTGATACTCCAATATCAGAAGAAGGAGAAGCTTCACTGAATATTGCATTTCTACATCCCCAGGGGGCATAAATACACTTAAATATAAATTGCAATCATGAGTATATATTTTTTTTTCTAAAAGAAGCTTTATTTAGACCCCAAATAGCAAAAACAAAACCCCCAATAAAACCCAATTAAAAATGCATCACAATACTCACAAGGCCAGTCATGGATAAAGTATCAAGCTCATAGGTCGGCCTCACTGTGCAACATCGGAATAGTATATTCTCGGGATGCACTGAAATTTCGTCCACCAAAACATTTCGGCCGAAAATGGTACTTTGGCCACAATGGCGAAAGTATCCTAATGGCCGAAACTTCAGTGCATCCTGACGGCTTCTCTCCTCCCCCACTAGACACCGGGCTGTGTTCCCTCCCATGCCCCCTGCTCTCCCCCGACCGTGTCAGCAGAGGCAGCCGGGATCCGAGGGGACACAGACCGGTGCCCAGCAGGGAGGAGAGAAGGTTTCAGGAGTGCCAAGAAAGGCACTGTGTGCACTAGGGGTACACCGATACTAGTATCAGTGCCGATGCCGAGTATTTGGGGCGAGTACTCGCCCAAATGCTCCTTAGCCTAGCCCTATACGTGAGCTTCCGGTATCAGGAAGCCTGCAGCGCGTCATTACACGCTGCCCGGCTTCCTGATTGGCCAGCCAGGTGACGAGGGAGCATGGAACCGGTTTCCCAGTCAATCGGGAAGCCGGGCAGCATGTAATGACTCGTCCGGCTTCCTGATTGGTTGGGAAGCCGGCTTCATGTTCCCTCGTAACCAGGTGACGAGGGAGCATGGAGCCAGCTTTGCCGGGCAATCAGGAAGCCAGATACCGCGTCATTACACGGCGTCTGGCTTTCTGATTGGCCAGAAAGCCGGCTCCATGATTTCCCGTCACCTGGTGACGAGGAAGCATAGAAACGGCTTCCCTGCTAATCAGGAAGCCAGGTGGCAAGTCATTACACGCCGCCTGGCACCCTTAATGAGACTTCCGGTATCGGTATTCGTAATGAAAAAAAAAATATCAGTACTCGATACTGACAAACCGGTATCGGTGCATCCCTAGTGTGCAGCATCGCTGATGTGCCCATAAATCCAAGTCCCTCTATTACAAGTGTCAGGTGTGGAGGGTCCATAAAACCGTGCCTGATGAAAGGAGGGATACAATGTGGCCTTGTCGTATTTCTATGTTGGGTCTACCTTTTAGGGGTAAAAACCGTGCCTGGTGAAAGGGAGCAGACACAGTTGGACCCTCCACACAAGGGCAATTAGTGGAAATGTAGTTTTAGCTAGGGAGGAAAAAATTCTTCTTTAACCACTTCCGGCCTGCAATATGTCTATAGACGGCGGCCTGCAGAAGTGGTTAAAACAAGAACACGGATGCTGCAGCAGCCGTGTTCTTGGTGTAATTTTTAACATGGCTGTTAATGTACAGCCGGGGCTGCCGTAGTTTTTTGCCGTGCGGCGCCCAGGACTGGCTTGGCGGGTCTCCCTGCAATGATCAGAGAGAGATTCAGCGGCTTCCAGCTGCTGAGCTCTCCTCCAATCACTGGACCCGGAAGTGATGTGTATGACATCACCTCCGGTGTCACTGTACACAGTCTCTGGCTTGTAGAGCCAGGAGAAGAAGCTGGGGAAGCAGATCTCAGCTTCTTTGGGGTCCCTAGGTGACATTAGGGGTCTGAAAGACTCCTGATGTCTCCATAAAGACACACCCTATCTGCTATTATATAGGGAGGCTGTTAGCCCCCTATATGATAGCAATAAAGTTATTGTAGAAAAAAGTGTTTACAAATTTAATAAATGAAAGTAACCTATAATAAAAATAAAAATATGCAAAAAACCCCATGTGCACGCACATACAAGTCGGTGCGTTTACATGTGAAAACAACAATTGCGTTACACATGATACATATCGCCGTGGATGTCGCAGTGAGAGCAATAATTCTCGGCCCATCAATCACTGTTAGCACTAAACTGATGAGCCGTAAAAGTGTTTAAAGCGTCGCCTATGGGAAATTTTGATTATTGTCGTTTTTTGCCGTTTCACGGGCGAACGCAATTTTAAGGCTTGACATGTTTGGTATCTATTTACCCGGCGTGACCCCGTCTTTTATATTTTACCTAAAAATTGGGTATTATTTTATGTTTCTGTGCACTTAATTTGAATTTTAGTTTATTTTTTCCTAAAAATATTTGTTTGATAAACATTTGCGCAAAAAAACGTACGGCATAAAAAATTGCAACAAGCATTTTTTTTTTATTCTCCAGGGCCTCAGCTTTCAGAACATATATCATTGTTTGGGGGGTCTGAAGCTGTTTTCTAGCCCAAAATGTATATTTTATCATGTGTGCGCAAATAGTAAGAAAATGCCCCAGACTAAGTGGTTAAAAGTCAGAACTTCGGTCAACTTTTTTTTTTTTTTTGCATTTTGTATCCCTAGGTGGGGAGATTCCACTTCAGTTGCTGTCCTGTTGACACTGGGACGGGAAACAAGGGCACAGGTTACCAGGACAGGGATACATAGAGAGGGGAATTTATCAAAACTAAAGCTGACAGAATCGGGAGCAGTTGCCCATAGTAACCGATCAGCTTCTCTCCTCAATTTCTTCAGTTAGGTTTTGAAAATGAAAAGATAGAAGCTGATTTGTTACTATTAGGCATGTTCAGATACCAAGTACCGCACTCGGACAGGTGCAGAAACTTTTCCAGCTCCAAGACTAGACAAGAGAAAAATACAACAGTTTGGCTGGGTTCACACCTAGGCGTATTGAATATGCACGTTTGTCGCGCGGTTCGCGACGCGCGTTTTTACCGCGATTCGCGGTAAAAAGAATCGCATATATATATTCGGGATGCACCGATACCAGTTTTGCAATTACAAGTACTGATACATTTTTGTTTATTGTCATGTGAGTTTTTCTAAAACAATACAGACTAATGATTTCAGGACAGTGGTAGAGGTCCCAGCTGCAACCGCTGCAACCCTGGTAGTTCTTGTCAAAATGCCAAGTATCAGCACTGGTATCGGGACAATCCTAGTTACTATGGACAGCTGCTCCAGATTGGGTTGGCTTCAGCTTTGATAAGAGTAATAGAAACCTGACAGATGTTATAACCCTTCCCACTGTACTAAATAAATGCGTTTTTCTGGCTGTCTCTGTCCTCATAAGAGTGTTATCCCATCACGTCCTGTCTTTGTAACACCCGGCCACTGAGGGTGAATGTCCCCAATGGAGGCACGGATAGCAGTAAAACCTGTTAAACGTTCTAACCCTTCCCACTCTTTAAAAAAAGGAACCACCATTTTTTAAACGGCACAGGGACAAGTGGATATACACTATATTGCCAAAAGTATTGGGACACCGGGTACACCACGGCATCCCACGCTTTGCATTGCACTTGGTGATGTAAGGCTTGGATGCAGCTGCTCCGCTCCAACAGGTACAGATATAATCAGAAAGGTAAATTGTTAATCATATCTATGGGGAAGAGGCTAAAGAAAAAGGGGGGGTACATTCGGTGGCCTTTGGCCGTTGCAGCGATGGGTGCAAGACAGGCTGCTATCATTACGGCCGTTCCCTGAAACCCTCGGTAGGTGTTTGTGGGTCATGTGCATCAGTAAATATTTTTCTATCAGTTTCTGAATGAATGGGAAGCTTCTGTACTGAGTGCTTCCCATTCATTGAGTGCTGAGGCTGCAGAAAAAGAAATTGAGGACTCTGTGTCCTCAATTTCTTATTCTATTTCAAAAGGGAAATGTCAGGGGTCTGTTTAGACCCCAGATATTTCACCGCAGCCCCCCCAACAGTAAAAAAATTAATATTTAAAAAAAAATAATAATAATGTGTAAAAAAAAAAAACAAACACAACCCCTCCCTCCCCCCACCATATTGTGGTGTTAGAAGCATTGTTAGAACCCTTTTTTTTTGTGGTTTTTGATGCATTGTTAGAACGCATTGAAGTGCATTATTTTTTTTCTTCTTTAAAAAAAACCCATTAATTTAACTGTGGCAGCACATGGCAAAGCGTTGCCACGCAAAAAGGCGCAATTTCAAATTTGCAAATATTTGTTATTTATTAACAGTTTTATCTTTTAGATTTAGGGCCTGTTCACACGACGTTTTCTGTGCTGACCTGATCCGTACACTCCTGCACTAAAAATGCATCCCAATGTATCTACCAGGGACGCTGATCTGTCTCTGCATGCAAGTGGCCAGAGCCAGCCGTGAGATGACAGCTGGCTCCGCCAAGCTGTCAGTAGCAGGTTGTCGGTCGGCCGTTCCAGCTTCGGCTTTCACCTCGGCTCAGTCGAGCCGAAGCATATGCCTTCGGCTTGACTGAGCCGCTCGGCCAACTTCGGGAGCTGTATGGGCTATAGTGAATAGCCCGTACAGCAGCCCTTCGGTTCTACTGAACGGAAGGGGTCCTGGGGCCGAAGCTAGCCGAAGGATCAGTCGAAGCTTCTCGGCATCACAACTCTGTGGACTCTGTGTCCTCAATTTCTTTTTCTATTTCAAAAGGGAAATGTCAGGGGTCTGTTTATTTTTTTTGTTTTAATATATTTTTATTGTTATTATTAATTCATGTCAACACAATTGTATCAATTTCATAAAACTTATAAACATCTGTTTGTTATTTCATAGCATAGATAAAACACATTCTAAATTACAAATGTCTATAACATTACTTTCAATAGCAAACATTACCTGTTCCATCTCTTTTCCCTTCCTCATTCATTCTAATCTTTCCCCCTTCTACTCACTTCTCGCCTTACAACCCTAACTCATAATGACTTATAACCTTATCTGGAGGGGGGTCTACTTTATATGTGTTTGTGATTTTCGTCTTCCATTTTGTCCCAAAATTACTCTCCATCGTTCCCATATGTGTATCTACACACTATTTCTTGTGTTGTAATTTTGTTCCCTACCCTATTTGTGTATTTAATCTTTGTGTACTATTCCGTGCTACAAATCTATAATTCCTAAGGTCAAAGTATTATTGTGAATCCCATTCCACCCTTTCCCCTCACCTCTGTTAGTGATGTATTACCTTATCTTTACTTAACTTAATTATCATACAAAAAACCTTTTACTAACCGACTATTTACTCTATAATGTGTTTACCTATACCCACCTTAAGGTTTTATCCTTTCCTTGTGTCCCCCCAATTTCCCCCAAGCCCTTCCCTCCCTCCCAGACAAGGACATTTCTCAACCTTTCTACTTATCATTCATATATGGTCATATGCATTATTACCAATTAATATATAGAAAGAGCTAAAATGAATTATATTATTTAAATTTCTCTGTTGTAGTCCATATGCATTTGTTATTATTATTATTTGTTCCTTTCCAAGTTGCTGTCCCTTTTTATTATTTGCTTGTATTCCTTTGTCTGTCTATACGCTTCCCACTTTTCCCACACCCCATCCTAATTTGTCTTCTTGTCGGCATCCCTTGCTGTTAATATTCTTACCCAGGGGGGTCTGTTTAGACCCCAGATATTTCACCGTAGCCCCCCAACAGTAAAAAAAAAAAAATACAAAATAAATACAACATGTTAAAAAAATTAAAATAAATAATTAAATAAAAAAATGTAAAACAACATAAAATTATTTAAAAATAAATTTAAAAAAACAACTAATAAAAAAAAGCACAACCCCTCCCTCCCCCCACATAACATACACATATTGTGGTGCACACCATGCACATGCGCTGCAGTGCGTTGTTAGAACGCATCGCAGTGCATGATTTGTTTATTTTTTATTCTTGTGATGCATTGCCATGCGTTGTGATACCTTGTGTTGCAATTAAATATATGCCTGTATCATTTTATCACAACATAAACACCAACACAGCGTAAAAACAATTTTTTACAAATTCGCTTATTTACAGTTTTGCATACCTTCATTTTTTACCTCATCGCAAAAAGGCGCAATTTCAAATTTGCAAATATTTGTTATTTATTAACTCAATACAGTTTTATCAGAAAATAATTTTTTTTTGTGCACGGATACTGATCTTGGTGTGTTTAACCAAATTGAATTGTGTATTTTTATCGGTTTAATATTAATTTGAGAAACATTTGCGCAATTATCGCAGGGCCTACAAATTTAGTATCACCATCTTTTTATTCTACCGGGCCTGCGCTTTCCGAAAATATATGGTTTGGGGGGTCTTTTACAAACGCTAGTAACGCAGCAGTTGAAAATCAAATCAGTGGGGAAAAATTGCAAAAATGGCGTGGCCAGCTAAGGTGCAAAATGTTCCGGAGGGCTTGGCAGCGAAAGGGTTAAAGGGACACCCGACCTCGGCGACTCCTGCTGGTCCTAGCTACTGCTGGTTTTCAGTGACAGCCGACATCCAACACTAAGCCAGGAGCAGATACACTCAGTTTCTTGCCGTCTGATCTTGCTGCACCTCATTTCTGGAAGTCTGTTGATGATAAGTAAAGCCAGCATGTCATTTACCTTGCCAGCAAATAAACTGACTTATCAGTTGCCCTTTATACCTTATGATTCTGATTTATCATGTGACCATGTCTATGTATTTCAACACCTTGCTTTTATTTATATCCTAGTTGCAGAAGCAACGGTTGACCCTGACAGGACCTCCTATGTCCTCCGGCACGTAACATGGCTACTGCTCGGGGGGCAGATTGCGAGAATGGCACTGATGGCGACATTTCAGAAGATCCAGAAAGACAGGCATTAGATTATGTATCCAGGGTACTTGGCACTCTCGCCCTGCCGGACAAAGTCCAGCAACTCCCACACACGCTGCCCGTGGAGGCTCAGGGCTGCATCAAGCATGAAGGTTTGAAGAAATCTCCAGTGACCGGTGACCATGGGGAGACGTTATCTCTGCTCTTGCTTCTTCCCCTGGAGCTGATCCTGCACACGTTGTCTTATCTCGACCCACGCTTCATCCTCGACGTATTGCCTCTTGTGTGCCGCACTCTCCGGGACATTGTGGCAGATGAGGTGACGTGGAGGTTGCGGGTTCAGAGAAGGATAGGTGCTAATTTTCCAGTAGTAGAACGTAAGTAATGCTACAGAGCAGGACCTTCTGGCTCTGGTGAAACTACAAATCCCATGATGCATCTGCCTCTGCAGTTGTGGCGGTCAGAGTCTTGTAATGCCTAATGAGATTTGTAGTTGAACTACTACTGGAGGGCCGAAGCTTGCCTACCCCTCTTACCCCTCTTATAGAGCAATATGTCCCCTTCTCTTAATACACAGATATTGAGACTCACTGACCACCCCACTCCTCGTGATACATTGACATCAGAACACCCTGACCTCTATCCCCCTCATTGTACATGGACATAAGGACACGTTTTCCTCTTCATGTTCTCTCCTCATACATAGACATCAGGACACACAATCCTTTAATTCCATGCTTATAGCCATTTATGTGATCTTTCCGCAGAAGAACAGTTTGATTGGCCAGCTGCCTGCATTGAATTAGAAGAGCAGGTGTCTAACTGGTCAGATAAAGGAAAGAAGACAGAGCATTTCTCACTGGGTGAAGGCCATTTTGCCCCTGTGGATGCAGTGCTGTTATTGGAGGTGGGTTTGCTTGGCTTGTCCCATTACTTCAAAGTAAATGGCGATCCAGTCAGATGCTTAGAAAGTGTAGATTTAAACTGCATACATCTGATAATAGGCGTACCCAGCAGATTTTAGAAGTCTTATAAAGAGCCTGATTCAAATCTGACTGCTGATATAAAGACCACATGGTGTGGTGGGTGGGCTATTACTATAATGTGCCATTATGCACAGAATATTTGCCTCCTAAAGCGCCCTCCTGTAGAGACGCAATGCCTGTGATTTCCCTCATTGCTTCATCATTGCCACTACCACCCTCACCCAGTCTTTTTTCGGGTTTGGTTTGTTCAGCCATTTTGAATGGCTGGCCTGTGATGACATAAAGGCTAAATCCACTTTCCCAGGTGAATTTGAAAAGATGGAATTACACCCTCCAATCTGGCTCCCTCTCACCTCCCCTCTCTTTCTCAAGTGGAATTACCCTTTAACTCCCACACATGTGCACAGGAGTTGGTTCATCCCTGCACCCAAGGCATGCCGAGATTGTTCACTAAGCTGCACTTTTACGGCTTATTATACAATTAGAAAAAAATTGTTAGAAGGGAAGGCAGAAGCTTTAAAGGAGAACTATGGGGTCAGGGCTTTTCCCCATAGTTCTCCTAAGGGTAATGGGAGGACACAAACTAGCGTCCTCCCGTCACCCAAAGCTCAGTGTACCGCAAGCTACAGTTCTCTGAGTATACTGAGACGCCGCAGCGCTGGAGGATCGGAGCAGGAAGGGGGGAATCCCTGTAGGGAGCCGTGAGTGACAGTCACGGCTCTCTGCAGGGATAGCTCGAGAAGTGAGCGAGCGTCGGTATGTGTTCACTCACTTCCCGATCTATTGAGCCGACCTGTGACAGTTTCATTGTCACAGGTCGGCTAGTGTCACACATCAGCTCTAACTAATGGAATGAATGTATGTCGCTCTCCATAGTTCTCCTTTAAAGATATGCAAGTGTCTTCTATCTGATAGTCTCTCCTATATG